TTAAATCTAAACATATTCATCATGTATACAGAGTAGTAACTAGTGATAAATCTAAACATATACATCATGTATACAGAGGAGTAACTAGGGATAAATCTAACCATATACATCATGTATACAGAATAGTAACTAGTAATAAATCTAAACATATTCATCATGTATACAGAGTAGTAACTAGTGATAAATCTAACCATATACATCATGTATACAGAATAGTTACTAGTAATAAATCTAAACACATACATCATGTATACAGAATAGTAACTAGTAATAAATCTAAACATATNTAGTGATAAATCTAACCATATACATCATGTATACAGAATAGTAACTAGTAATAAATCTAACCATATACATCATGTATACAGAATAGTAACTAGTAATTAATATAAACATATAGATCATGTATACAGAAAAGTAACTAGTAATAGATCTAAACACATACATCATGTATACAGAATAGTAACTAGTAATAAATCTAAACATATACATCATGTATACAGAATAGTAACTAGTAATAAATCTAAACATATACATCATGTATACAGAATAGTAACTAGTAAGAAATATAAACATATACATATATATCTTTAGGACTAAGCTCAGTACTACATGATCAAGGTACACTGACGTTTCTGTGCAATGTGATATGTCTTTACTACATACAAATATAAACTAATTTCCGTATCTCCTTACACTAACTCATATATGAAGCCTTTAGAAGATTCATCAATCGAAAGGAAGAAGCGGTTTCCGTTGAAAGCGATCGACTCCACTTCTCTGACACCTGACAGTATATTCTGACATTGTTTCATGTCCTTGGAGATCTGGACGACGTTTCCGGACCCTTTCCCACAAACGTACAAGTTCCCCTCCCTGTCAAAGTCAAGTCCGCGGGGACCGGCCATAGTATCCGACTTGATGGTTTGACAGACACGGGTATCAAGAGACATACAGCGGATCCCGTTTTGGCCAATTTTACTATTCATATCGGATATGAAAACATCTTTCCCACGTGACGTCATCCTGGCCTGTCTCCCCTCCATGGTTAAGAGTTGTTCAGTGCGACCATCTTCTGTTATTCTAAGTATGTTGCATGGTTGTTCGTCTGGACAAGTCACGATCATGTTCCCATCAGTAACGGCAATTCCATATGGTATTACTTGTAGATCTATCTGTCGAAGACGAGTGAGTTTCTCGTTTTTAATTTGCAACAGATGAATATTAAATGTTGGTCTTAAGATCGTTACTGCGATTTTCTTATTCAGAAGGCAACAACATAATGGGACAGCCTTCAGAGTCATTGTGTCGACACGTACACCTTTACCGTTGTGCAGAAACAGGCGCTGGTTTCTGTGATCTACTAAAAACAAGTGCCCGCTGTCAAGGAAGATTGCACCAGTGATCCTGGAGCCTGTAGCGAATATCTGGAACGTCGACATCAACTTGGCGGTCCGACCGTACAGAGGTAGACAGAGGTTCAACGTTGGCATCGGGTGGTGTTCTTTTGTTGAAGCTATATATCTTGTCGGTGACTTCATCGTACATTGAAGCGATTTTAGACTCGGAGTTATATTGAGTGAGAGACGTTCTGTGAACCAAGATGTCAGGATGTGATTGGAAAGCTGTTTGCACGTACGTATTTCCGCCTGTGCTCTCAGCATATTTGCGACTAGATGGACCTCGTTCCCCTCGGACAACACCGCCTTGATGGCTGCATTCGTGTTTGTCATACTTTTGCCCAATCTTTCAAACTCGTCGACTTTATCTTGATTTTTTACAATGTTTGCCTTCGTTTTCTTGCTGAGATTAGTTTCTGCCTTCTGTTTGATGTCTAGGAACAGTTTCAGCATATCATCCAGTTCCTGTTTCACAGCAGCTTCGTTGTCTTTCATCATTTCCGTGTGAACTTTGAAAGCCTCCTCAAGTGACGTCATGTCCTGACTGCCACGCGCCAGATCCGACAGCGTCTCCGTCACCTGGTCCTTTTCTCTGATCTCGGTTGCGTACTCCACCACGGGGACCACCTTCAGACATTGTCGGTGATCCGCGATCACACACTTGTAGCATTCGATCACTGCATGATCTAAACAAACGTACTCCATTTTATCGCCATGTCGTTCACACAAAACTTCCTCCGATATTTTGTGCTTCGTCTCGTGTTGCCCGCCGGCCGAGCTGACGACATGATGATCAGTAAACATGATATCATGGAGGGATGATTTACAGAGCGTACACATAAAGAAGGAACATTGTTTACAGTATAATGTACCGTCGACATTTTTTTCCTGCCTCTGGCATGGGCTGCATTTACAGGTATCTTCAATCGCTTTGTTACGTTTTTCCAAAATTGCCAGAACAAATGTATTGGTGGGGAATTGCCTAGCCCATTGCTTGCTGTCCACAGAAGTAGTAGGCGGCAACACCAGGGTTCTACACACAGGGCAGGGAAGAGAGGGTGGGGAGGCGTGAGTATCGTCTGCCACAGCAGGTGTTGTTACCTTAGCGATGTAGGTCTCCAGACACTCCAGGCAAAACGTATGGCGACAGGGCAGTGATCTGGGCTTCCTCAGGGTCTCCAGACACACGGGACACTCCGTTATCGAGGACAGGGAGAGCGAAGCCTGGTGAGGTGAATCGTCTTTTTCTGGGATTGCTTGCGCCATCCTTTATTTTCTGAAAATAAAATGGAAATGTTCGTGTATTTTATCATTGAGGTATACAATAAGGATAAGGAGTGTTCATCACAAGCACGACATTGTGTTGTGTACCATCGTAATACCAAACGGTACAAAGGAGGCACTTCAGTATTCATACCAGTAACGTAAATGTAAGAAAGTGATGAGGACACATATAGGCTTACTAGATAGTCTCAACTATGACACGGTGAATGTCACTGTTTTACTCCAATATTTCAGAAAGAATTTGAGTATAGGCCAAATAACTTTGTTATAGTTATAGCAGAATGGAGATGTCCCTTACTGATGATACAGGAGTGGAGTACCCGCATAGGGATGGCACAATGGCCAAATATATGTGTTTCTTTGGCAAGCATCACAAATAATGTTCTTATTGGGGGAAGGGATGCATAACGGGGTAATCAGTAATCAAAAGGGACACAGCCTTCTCTTATACAAAATAGTATAGTCCAGTGATTATAAATAATTGATTCAGCAAAACCTTTTTTAGTAATACCCAAACTTTTAAATGACCTTTCTCTGTCCCTTAGCTCTCCTGAAACAAATTTCTACTTTCTTGTTGTAGCAATATTAAATGTCCAATTTGATCATCACCCAACAAACACTTTGGTAGGAATAGAGTTCCAAGATATAAAGCTTAACATATTTTTATTATCCTGGTCACCTCTCAAAGTTGACCTTTGACCTTCACATATTCCATTATAAAAGATGAACATTGTTGGTCAACTCACATGCTGCTCTATACCTAACTAATTTAAACATGTTTTTTGAAGTTTACACCAGATTTGCCCCGCGACCTTTCATTAATCGCAGGTTATTTATCTATAATTTTGATTACTCTACATCCAGCTACCTACAGGTGCAATACCATGACCCCTGATCTTTGTCAAATTAAGAGTTTAATATTATGTAACTGTGACTCGAAGGAAAGTCAAAGATTTAACCCTTCATGACATTGAAGGAAGATCATAGTCATTTATTTGAACAGGTTCGATTGTCCTCCATTCCAGCTACCTACTGGAACTTGAAACTTGACCTCTGTGACCTTGAATGATGGTCGGTGTATTTTATTTAACAACTTTGCTTATCCTCCGTCCCTGCTACCTACTGGTCAAATATCATAACCCTATGACCTCTGATAGCTGGTCATTCCAGATACAATATATCTATTGGTCACATAGTATAACCCTAAGCCTTTAATAAGTCACTTTAAATTATCTATTCAATGAATGTTAAGGTCATTCACTTGAACAACTTTCACAACCCTCGATCCACGACCCCTTGGTATGTAATGTCAATTGTAAATGGACAACAAATTACGGCGAAAGGCAATAAGTCACTTCGGCCGAGGGAACTAAAAAACGAAGTAGGCCTATCTTTTCAGTGTTCAACACTTAACATATTTTGCTGAAATTACTTTAACGTTAACAGAAGATTTTACTATAAATTGAATGTGAAGAATTTGCCCACATTTAATATCATTTCATTTACCTTTTCCTGTAAAATCATTGTCAATAATATAACACCAGTCAACAGATCATTGTTTACACACCACGCGTTACTCTGTGAATTACAAGGGGACGTGAGGGGACTGGCGAGGGGTCGGGGTATGTTACAAAGGCATTTCCCCACATATAGTATTCAATATGATTAGAATAATGTTCTATGACCACTACGTACATAGTGTACAGGTGTAGTCTACAGGTGTTGCATATGTTTTAATTAGATCGGACTGGATACATGTAAGGTTATATGTACGTATACGTACATGGTCAGGTCTACGAGTAATGGTAAACGATGGTTAACACACAACTTACCATGTCATCACATACAATCCGTCTCGCCACAAACTGTACAACTTTTCGAGGAACGTGTACTTTCGGTTTCGAAACCAACGTCATGTTAAGCCAGGGCCCATTTCACGTATCCGGTTCAACCATTTTGTCTGTTTTTTAAGTGTAAAATTTTAGGGTATAAATCATGCAGGCCTTGCAAGTCGCTGTCGAGCCTCGCCTGAAAGCGGCATCAGATTACTAGGTCCGACCATATTTCATAAACGAACAACTCTGGTCTAACCGATCCAACCGTTTAGATTGCAATAAACAAAAGTGACCAGGTTTTAGCCAGGTAATGTAAATGAGCCCCAGATCAAGGTTCGATAGTATTTTTCACAATAACAAGAATTTTATATATCGGACCATAGTTTGAGCTCCTGTAGATTCCCAACGGCGTGTAAAAAGTTCTACTGTGTTTATCTCGTTCCAAAATGGAATGGTGTTAGGTTTGAAATGTTGGAACAAGTATCTGCCTCAATACTAGCCAGAGTTTCCTCTGGCCTTGATACCACATTAGACACTTTGACAGAGAGAACACCAGATATATCTGTCAAAATGTCAAAGTCTGGTGTCAGAGCCAGAGGAACCTCAATACATTATATGTTTTTAGTTTCTCTTCCCTTTTTCGAAGTTTTAACTGACCCAGTGTCGTAGTTTTTTTTACCGCATTTACTTGAATCTTTTCTGTCTCTGTTCCTTTTTAAAAAATCTTTTAAGAGCTTCAGGCGACAAGTACTAGTGGTTTATGACTAACGCAGTTTTCAGACTTTCATATTATTTAAATATTCACCAGGTTTTTCATTTAAACATACATGTATGCATATTGTTGGACATCAGAGTCATTTTGCCGCATTTTGAATGCGTTTTTAACACCAAGCGAACTGAAATTGTTCCGCAGCAGACCCTCTACGCGCCATACCTCTTTATATTGTGGTGTAAGGAACCAAAACTCTAGGTAGAGATTGCTACTCGTTACAACTCGGCAGATTCCATACCTACATCAAAAGGGTACCGGAATCAGCCGAGGTTAGCCGAATGAGAGATTGATAACCTTTAAATCTCTTATTAATGCTAAAGAAGAAGCAGCTTCAGTTATTTTCTTTGCAGCACGTAATGACAGGTCTCCGGTGATTTTTTTTATGTCAAATGCCCTGGTTATAAGAAGTGTGACACATATAGGATAACGGGAATTTCTTTTGTTTGTGGTAGAGCGTCCGACTAGGAAGTATGGGATCGCGGGTTTGATCCCCGGTGGAAGCCCACTATTCTCTTTCCTGTTACAAATGGTGTTCGTGGCCCTCCCTGTGGTGTAGGCATAGGATCAAGGTCAAGATAGCAGAGGTCGTGGGTGTTCTCACCATCAAAATCAGTCGCAGCAAGGTCGATGGTAATGTTCAAAACTTCTTACCTGCGATTCGAACAGGTAAGAGGTCGCAGACAGGTCCTACATGGTCGTACACTACTAGTTCACCTGTTGTGCATGATCGCGGGTCAAGTAGTCAAACGATTGGTTGTGCTACTGGTCCTGCCACCTTGTGATTGGTCGTGCCACCTGTCATACTATCCCATGATCAGTAGTGCGACCAGTCTCGACTGGTTGCACGACCCTACGATTGGTGGTACCACCAGTCTTTAGCTTGCAGACGAGTTTATTTGGAGTGACTTCTGGTGTTCAATTCACTTTCCACTACGAGACCCAAAAAGCGCTATGATGAGTACATAATTTGTGCCGGGCATATCACTTGTGTTGGTTTTTTTGATGGAGCAACAACGACAGCTGGCTGCTGTAGTTCTGCACGACCAGTTACGATTAGCTACTATCTGTCGCGCGAGTGGTCGAAGGGGGCTACGATTGATCGTACGATCAGTCGCTCATCGCCACGACTAATCGCACGATTACTTACAATTGGTATTGAAATCGATCCTGTCCAATCGTTGGTAACTGCACGACAACTCGTACGATGACCTATCGACAATCTTAAGAGCAATAGCAGTATGCGATCGCCAATTTAGATTTTAGCAAACAAAGCCGATTGGTCGTACCTCCGCCAAATTACCACCAGTCGCACGATTATGAAATCGTACGATCTGGTGTGACTGAAGCGTTTGACTAGGAACACGACGACATGATACATATTGTTACAGATATATTTGTACCTATTTGTACTAAATACCTCGGGAAGTTTGGGTTCGCGGGTTCGATTCCTGATTGAAGAACATTACTCTCTTTTCCATAAACATTATCGAAGATGTTACTTTCTTCATTTTTCTTTGTTATTATTCATTTAATACATGAACTTCAAACAATTGCTTCATCTGTCTACTGCATGTATAATGTTACCTACAGAAAACACACTCAGTTTATTGAACGTTATTTTTAAGTGTTATCTTATTCATCATCTCATCAGCATCTTCCTGGACAGGAGCTGATCATGACCCTAGGGGGTGTGCTGCTCCATGGTGTACATGCTATTTTATTAAATATGGATTATTTCTTTATGAAATAACTGCATCCCTTCTAAACACTTAAAACTGTCTCAGAATATACGTCACTATAAGTTGTCCTGACGCTGAGAAGGCCGTGAAAAAATAATAGATCCGGATATATGTCCGGTCCGGCTTTTGTACAAAACTTAGTATGTCATAACTAACTTCCTGTTGTTGGTTGTGGAAGAAGTTCCGGTACAGGTATGCTTATTTTGTTCAACCTTTTTTGTTCGCGTCTTATTATGATGGTAGTTCATTATATAATTGCACTGGGTCTCTAAACACTTGTTATATAAATGTTAGGACCGATATGGCAAGTTTATTATAAGTAGCGCCTTAAATGAACTGATAATCACCTGAGGCTGATCAGAACCGGCATAAATTATTAATTGGTGTAACATTTCACTCCGATTTTTCACAAAACAAAGTTGATAATAATAAAAGATTATTTAAGTGCCATTCGTTTGTAGTAACACTAACTTTACGTCTGTTCTGTCTGATCATATATATACACAGCGTCAACAACATGGAACGTGATTCACGAGATGGGGCAAGTCCTCGGACCCTGCCTGAACCACAGAGGGTGGAGGTGAGAATGTACAGTACGACATTGTAACAGTAAGATACAGCAGCCAGGGCTCACACCTTTAAAATAAAATACTGTTTCGTGAATATAGATGTACCATATAATAGGCAAGAGTGTCCTCTGGCCCTGAAACCAGATTTGGACATTTTGACAGATACAATGTAACATTAGATGTCTGCTGTGGGGCACAAATGTCAAAATGTCTTAGTCCGGTTTCAGGGAAAAACTCCGGATAACTTTATAAGTGCACTGCTAAAAACAAGGTCTGCAGAATTTATGAGAAAATGCGCAATGCAGCGAGCTTAATTGGTAGAGCGTCTAGAGTTCAGAGTGTCCCAGATTTTAACCTTGGTCTGGCTGCACATTTCTCAATCTCCTGTAATAGTGGTGCCTGTGATCATGCATTGGGTGTATGCTTGGCGAGGGGATACTTGAACTTAGGTTGTAAATAATGGTGTCTTCGTGGGCAAAGACTTTAAAAAATGGGAGGAATGTAGCAAAACTGGGTTGATTGTCGGCAATTATTGTAGCTCAGTTTTAGAGCGTCTGTCTAGATATGTAGGGTTCCAGGTTTGGACCCTGGTCTGGTGTACATTTTCCATCTCCTGTTACATTATCTATAAGTCATAATAGAAAGTGTTTATTTGTTGTAAATCTTAACAGAAGGGTTTTGGGTTTTAAGAAGGTACTGCCAGTAAGACAAACAACCAAAGATGTGAAGGAACTGTTAGTTGTATATTTGTACTAGGGGGATGGTTCTCCTCTACCAAGCAGTTTGGATGAAAGCAGGAGGAACCCACAACGCGGGCAGTCAAAGCCTTTCTCTATCAACTTTGAGGTTGACATCATCCAAATAATGCTGTTCATTGCTGCCCTTGCCACTCGATTCTGGCTCCTAGGCTTACCCAGGGCAGTTGTGTAAGTATATATGTGTTAGTGTGTAGGTGTATATGTATAAGTGTAAGTATACTTGTGTAGGTGTATATGTGTATTTATGTGTAGGTGTATAGGTATAGATGTATATGTGATTATGTGTAAGTGTATATATGTGTAGATGTTTATGTGTAAGTGTATAGGTGTAGGTGTATATTTGTAGGTATACATGTGTATAGGTGTAGATGTTTATGTGTAGGTGTAGGTGTATATATGTGTAGGTGTATATGTGTATGTGTAGATGTATATTTGTAGGTGTAGGTGTGTATATGTGTAGGTGTATATGTGAAGGTGTATATTTGTAAGTGTACATGTGTATGTGTAGGTGTATATGTGTAGGTGTAAATGTGTAGGTGTATATGTGTATGTGTAGATGTATATGTGTAGATGTATATTTGTAGGTGTAGGTGTGTATATGTGTAGGTGTATATGTGAAGGTGTATATGTGTATGTGTAGATGTATATGTGTAGGTGTATATATGTGTAAATGTATATGTGTAGATGTATATGTGTAGGTGTATATATGTGTAGATGTGTATGTGTAGGTATATATGTGTAAGTGTATATATGTGTAAGTGTATATATGTGTAGGTATATATGTGTAAGTGTATATATGTGTAAGTGTATATATGTGTAGGTGTATATGGGGAAAAGAATATGTAGCTGTATAGGTATAGATGTATATGTGATTATGTGTAAGTGTATATATGTGTAGATTTATATGTGTAGATGTAGGTGTATATGAGTAAATGAAGGTGTAGATGTACATGTGTAGGTGTATAGGTGTAGGTATATATGTAGGTGTAGATGTACATGTGTAGGTGTATATGTGTAAATGTAGGTGTAGATGCACATGTGTAAAGGTGTATTATGTGTAGGTGTATATGTGTAGATGTTAATGTGTAGATGTATATGTGTATAGGTGTATATGTATATGTGTATACAGTAGGTGTATATGTGTAGACATAGGTGTGGGTGTTGAAGGGGATGACATGTGCATTTACAGATTACCAGTTGAAAGATAATGTTACCAATTGTAAGCTTACTTGTGTGGAAGGAGCTTATAGATAATCCTATCTAGGCCTGTTGTGTAGTTGTGCAAGTATGTGTATTTGGGAGGGTACGATAAACCCTACCCTGTTGTTTTTTTGTAAGTGTATACAAGTATATAATCTTACCCTTGGTTGTTGTGAGGAGCAAGTTATATACATTTATATGTGACCTTGGATTTTACATAGGTGTCAGGAATTTTGTATAAGTGTTGGGAGAAGGAGGTTTGTACCTTACCCAGGGTTGTTGTGTAGGTGAGTAGATGTGGAGTGGTATGTACCTTACCCAGGGTTGTTGTGTAATTGTAATAGTGAGTAGATGTGGAGTAGTATGTACCTTACCCAGGGTTGTTGTGTAGGTGAGTAGATGTGAAGTGGTATGTACCTTACCCAGGGTTGTTGTGTAGGTGAGTAGATGTGGAGTGGTATGTACCTTACCCAGGGTTGTTGTGTAATTGTAATAGTGAGTAGATGTGGAGTAGTATGTACCTTACCCAGGGTTGTTGTGTAGGTGAGTAGATGTGGAGTGGTATGTACCTTACCCAGGGTTGTTGTGTAAATGTAATAGTGAGTAGATGTGGAGTAGTATGTACCTTACCCAGGGTTGTTGTGTAATTGTAATAGTGACTAGATGTGGAGTGGTATGAACCTTACCCAGGGTTGTTGTGTAATTGTAATAGTGACTAGAGGTGGAGTAGTATGTACCTTACCCAGGGTTGTTGTGTAATTGTAATAGTGAGTAGATGTGGAGTGGTATGTACCTTACCCAGGGTTGTTGTGTAATTGTAATAGTGACTAGATGTGGAGTAGTATGTACCTTACCCAGGGTTATTGTGTAGGTGAGTAGATGTGGAGTGGTAGGTACCTTACCCAGGGTTGTTGTGTAGGTGAGTAGATGTGGAGTGGTATGTACCTTACCCAGGGTTGTTGTGTAGGTGAGTGGATGTGGAGTGGTATGTACCTTACCCAGGGTTGTTGTGTAGGTGAGTGGATGTGGAGTGGTATGTACCTTACCTAGGGTTGTTGTGTAGGTGAGTGGATGTGGGGTGGAATGTACCTTACCCAGGGTTGTTGTGTAGTTGAGTGGATGTGGAGTGGTATGTACCTTACCCAGGGTTGTTGTGTAGGAGAGTGGATGTGGAGTGGTATGTACCTTAACTAGGGTTGTTGTGTAGGTGAGTGGATGTGGAGTGGGATGTACCTTACCCAGGTTTGTTGTGTAGGTGAGTAGATGTGGAGGGGTATGTACCCAGGGTTGTTGTGTAGGTGACTAGATGTGGAGTGGTATGAACCTTACCCAGGGTTGTTGTGTAGTTGAGTGGATGTGGAGTGGTATGTACCTTAACTAGGGTTGTTGTGTAGGTGAGTGGATGTGGAGTGGTATGTACCTTAACTAGGGTTGTTGTGTAGGTGAGTAGATGTGGAGTGGTATGTACCTTACCCAGGGTTGTTGTGTAATTGTAAGAACGCGTTCCACAAAAAGTCTGATTCTCTTACTAAAGCCTTGTCAACAGCGTACTGGATGGCAAAGGAAACGTGGCGTCAGTGAAGTTTAGTTCTATGTTGGACTTTATGGACTACCAGTGTGTTGATGTCACTAGCAAGTAAGATTTCATTAGGATAAGTGAAATCGGTCCAAGCTTGCTTTTTTTTTTCTTCCAATTTTCCCGGGCCAGTGTTTTTCCTGCCTATACATTTGGGGCCGTTATATCGACCCCATTCCCAATCAATATTGGACAGGATGGCTCAACTATGGCAATTGGTTCACCAACATCATGCAGAGACATTCCCAAATCTACTGAAGCTGGTCCAGATTGCAATTCTGATGCCGTACCAAACAGCAGACTGTGAGAGGGGGTTCAGTAACCAAAACAATACAAAAACATCTTCTAGAAACCGCCTGGAAGGGAAAACACTCAACAGATTAATGCTCATCAATATTGAAGGACCACCATTGAGAGAGTTTGACTTTGGTCGTGCACTGTCCGTTTGGAAATCAAAGAAAAACAGATGTGTTTTCAAACATTGACTTGAAGACCGTTATTTGGCCTTTGCAATACTTATCTGTCTGTGTCTGTTTCTTTATTCTAGTCACAAAATCAACTGACATTTCATGAATAAAAATCATGAGATTAAGATTGAGATAACACTCAAGTTTTATTGATCACAGGATTAGCCGACATACTGTGTTTCTATGATTGAGATAATACTCAAGTTCTGTTTATTAAAACAAACCAGATTTAATACAAACATTTGGGTTTCTTTTTTAAAACTAAAACACTATCCTTAAAAAATATAAAATCATAAAATTCAGATAAAAACATGACTTTTTATGGAAATATATTTCTTGTAGAACCAACATGAAATAATAGCCCAAATGTCACCAGAGAGCACCTAGATTTCAAAAAGATTTTTGGGGGAGGACCCCCAAAACCCCCCCTACATATCAGGTGGGGGCAACCCTGCTCCCGCTCCTACCCCCCACCCGTCGCTTCGCTCCTCAGGTGGCTGCCTTTGGCAGCCACAGAGTGGCCCCCCAATTGTCAGAAAGGAGGGGGGGCATGTACACAAATGTCAAATCCTGAATGCAACTCTGGGTGAGTAAATGTGGAGTGTTAAGTGTAGGGGAGTGGATGTGTAGTGGTATGTACTTTACCCAGGGTTGTTGTGTAATTGTATAGATGAGTAGATGTGGAGTGGTTTGTGTAGGTGAGTAGATGTGGAGTGGTATGTACCTTACCCAGGGGTGTTGTGTAGGTGAGTGGATGTGGGGTGGTATGTACCTTTCCCAGGGTTGTTGTGTAGGTGAGTGGATGTGGATTTGTATGTACCTTACCCAGGGTTGTTGTGAAGGTAAGATGATGTGGAGGGGTATGAACCTTACCCAGGGTTGTTGTGTAATTGTATAGATGAGTAGATGTGGAGTGGTTTGTGTAGGTGATTAGATGTGGAGTGGTATGTACCTTACCTAGGGTTGTTGTGTAGGTGAGTAGATGTGGATTGGTATGTACCTTACCCAGGGTTGTTTACCCAGGGTTGTTGTGTAGGTGAGTGGGTGTGGAGTGGTATGTACCTTACCCAGGGGTGTTGTGTAGGTGAGTGGATGTGGGGTGGTATGTGCCTTACCCAGGGTTGTTGTGTAAGTGTAGGTGAGTAGATGTGGAGTGGTATGTTCCTTACCTAGGGTTGTTGTGTAGGTGAGTAGATGTAGAGTGGTATGTACCTTACCCAGGGTTGTTTACCCAGGGTTGTTGTGTAGGTGAGAGGATGTGGATTTGTATGTACCTTACCCAGGGGTGTTGTGTAGGTGAGTGGATGTGGATTTGTAGGTACCTTACCCAGGGTTGTTGTGTAAGTGTAGGTGAGTAGATGTGGAGTGGTAGGGACATTACCCAAGGTTGTTGTGTAAGTGTAGGTGAGTAGATGTGGAGTGGTATGTGCCTTACCCAGGGTTGTTGTGTAGGTGAGAGGATGTGGATTTGTATGTACCTTACCCAGGGGTGTTGTGTAGGTGAGTGGATGTGGAGGGGTATGTACCTTACCCAGGGTTGTTGTGAAGGTAAGATGATGTGGAGGGGTATGAACCTTACCCAGGGTTGTTGTGTAATTGTAATAGTGACTAGATGTGGAGTAGTATGTACCTTACCTAGGGTTGTTGTGTAGGTGAGTAGATGTGGATTGGTATGTACCTTACCCAGGGTTGTTTACCCAGGGTTGTTGTGTAGGTGAGGGGATGTGGATTTGTATGTACCTTACCCAGGGGTGTTGTGTAGGTGAGTGGATGTGGGGTGGTATGTACCTTACCCAGGGTTTTTGTGTAGGTGAGTGGATGTGGAGTGGGATGTACCTTACCTAGGGTTGTTGTGTAGGTGAGTGGATGTGGATTTGTAGGTACCTTACCCAGGGTTGTTGTGTAAGTGTAGGTGAGTAGATGTGGAGTGGTAGGGACATTACCCAAGGTTGTTGTGTAAGTGTAGGTGAGTAGATGTGGAGTGGTATGTACCTTCCCCAGGGTTGTTGTGTAGGTGAGTAGATGTAGAGTGGTATGTACCTTACCCAGGGTTGTTGTGTAATTGTATAGATGAGTAGATGTGGAGTGGTATGTACCTTACCTAGGGTTGTTGTGTAGGTGAGTAGATGTGGGGTGGTATGTACCTTACCCAGGGTTTTTGTGTAGGTGAGTGGATGTGGAGTGGGATGTACCTTACCTAGGGTTGTTGTGTAGGTGAGTAGATGTGGGGTGGTATGTACCTTACCCAGGGTTGTTGTGTAGGTGAGTGGATGTGGATTTGTATGTACCTTACCCAGGGTTGTTGTGTAGGTGAGTAGATGTGGGGTGGTATGTACCTTACCCAGGGTTGTTGTGTAAGTGTAGTTGAGTGGATGTGGAGTGGTATGTACCCAGGGTTGTTGTGTAGGTGAGTGGATGTGTAGTGGTATGTACCTTACCCAAGGTTGTTGTTTAAGTGAGTGGATGTGGAGTGGTATGTACCTTACCCAAGGTTGTTGTGTAAGTGTAGGTGAGTAGATGTGGAGTGGTATGTACCTTACCTAGGGTTGTTGTGTAGGTGAGTAGATGTGGAGTGGTAGGTACATTAACCAGGGTTGTTGTGTAAGTGTAGGTGAGTAGATGGGGAGTGGTATGTACCTTACCCAGGGTTGTTGTGTAAGTGTAGGGGAGTAGATGTGGAGTGGTAGGTACATTACCCAAGGTTGTTGTGGAAGTGTAGATGAGGAGATGTGGAGTGGTATGTACCTTACCCAGGGTTGTTGTGTAGGCGAGTGGATGTGGAGTGGTATGTACCTTACCCAGGGTTGTTGTGTAGGCGAGTGGATGTGGAGTGGTATGTACCTTACCCAGGGTTGTTGTGTAATTGTAATAGTGAGTAGATGTGGAGTGGTATATACCTTACCCAGGGAAATTGTGTATGTGAGTAGATGTGGAGTGGTATGTACCTTTCCTAGGGTTGTTGTGTAGGTGAGTAGATGTGGAGTGGTAGGTACATTAACCAGGGTTGTTGTGTAAGTGTAGGTGAGTAGATGTGGGGTGGTATGTACCTTACCCAGGGTTGTTGTGTAATTGTAATAGTGAGTAGATGTGGAGTGGTATGTACCTTACCCAGGGTTGTTGTGTAATTGTAATAGTGAGTAGATGTGGAGTGGTATATACCTTACCCAGGGAAATTGTGTATGTGAGTAGATGTGGAGTGGTATGTACCTTACCTAGGGTTGTTGTGTAGGTGAGTAGATGTGGAGTGGTATGTTCCTTACCCAGGGTTGTTGTGTAAGTGTAGGTGAGTAGATGGGGAGTGGTATGTACCTTACCCAGGGTTGTTGTGTAGGTGAGTAGATGTGTAGTGGTAGGTACATTACCCAAGGTTGTTGTGTAAGTGTAATAGTGAGTAGATGTGGAGTGGTATGTACCTTACCTAGGGTTGTTGTGTAGGTGAGTAGATGTGGAGTGGTATGTTCCTTACCCAGGGTTGTTGTGTAAGTGTAGGTGAGGAGATGTGGAGTGGGATGTACCTTACCCAGGGTTGTTGTGTAGGTGAGTGGACGTGGAGTGGTATGTACCTTACCCAGGGTTGTTGTGTAGGTGAGTGGATGTGGATTTGTAGGTACCTTACCCAGGGTTGTTGTGTAGGTGAGTAGATGTGTAGTGGTATGTACCTTACCCAGGGTTGTTGTGTAAGTGTATAGGTGAGTAGATGTGGAGTGGTATGTACCTTACCCAGGGTTGTTGTGTAAGTGTAGTTGAGTGGATGTGGAGTGGTATGTACCCAGGGTTGTTGTGTAGGTGAGTGGATGTGTAGTGGTATGTACCTTACCCAAGGTTGTTGTTTAAGTGAGTGGATGTGGAGTGGTATGTACCTTACCCAGGGTTGTTGTGTAATTGTAATAGTGAGTAGATGTGGAGTGGTATATACCTTACCCAGGGTAATTGTGTATGTGAGTAGATGTGGAGTGGTATGTACCTTACCCAGGGTTGTTGTGTAGGTGAGTAGATGTGTAGTGGTATGTACCTTACCCAGGGTTGTTGTGTAAGCGAAGGTGAGTGGATGTGGAGTGGTATGTACCTTACCCAGGGTTGTTGTGTAGGTGAGTAGATGTGGAGTGGTAGGTACATTACCCAGGGTTGTTGTATAGGTGAGTAGATGTGGAGTGGTATGTACCTTACCAAGGGTTGTTGTGTAGGTGAGTGGATGTGGAGTGATATGTACCTTACCCAGGGTTGTTGTGTAGGTGAGTAGATGTGAAGTGGTAGGTACCTTACCCTGGTTTAGTAGTATAGTGTGTTTTGTTTATTAAACATGTAAATAAACTTTTTAATTCTTACGTTAAGGTTTGATGAACTACACTTTGCCAAGTTTGCCTCCCTGTACATGAAGAAGATATTTTTCTTTGATGTTCACCCACCACTGGGGAAGATGTTGCTGGCTCTGGTCGGTAAGTCTGGTATTTGTGCACTACCAGGTATGTGCTGTTTTGTTTTACACATACCATCAATGGTACACCCTTGATTAGTTCCTTCAACTGACCATGTGGTCGTAGGTATTTTCTTTATTACGTTGGCTCAGTTTTCCAATTGAAATAAGTCATGGATAAGTATGCAGTGCTTTTTCTACCTATATTTTACAAAAACCTGTTTCTGCATAAATTGGGGGAAATATATCTGTATTTTTATTGAGATTGGGGAAATGAGGCTCCTTTTTTTGCTATGTATAACAGTCTCTAATCGGCGGTAAAACTAGGCTAAAATTACTGATATGAACTGTAGTCACAATGGTTTTATATTAAGATTGTAATTGTGTTTTTAACCATAACTTTTAAACTCCTAACATTTCGATGTTGTGTTTTATGTTTCCTTAAGGTGGGTTCTGTGGGTTTGAAGGTGAAGCCCACTTCGCTAGGATTGGAGAAGGTAAGATGTTCTACACTTTTTAAGTGTTCACTTTGAGCAAATGGCTGAATGTTTTATTTCCATTTGAGTTTTGTAAATATAGATTGTGTTTCATAGTTGAGTATTAAAATAATCTTCATAGAATGTGTATAATTTAGAATCCTATATGTCTCAAACTTTCAACAATAACAACACAGCTTCAATGTATCAATTAAATGTTTATTTATGTTTAAAATGCTATCATTTGAAAGTCTTTGAAGTATCATGTAAAACTTTTCTAAAATACCGATCATCTATTTAGACCTAGTAATCCTGGCTACTTTTTGTTGTAAGGTTACCAAAATCAGTTGAAAAATTGTTTTTGTAAAGTTTTACACATGTGTGTATGTTATATTACTGTCATGTGTATGTAACATGTATATATGATATATCCTTGTATATATTATACAGAGTACCCTGTGACATTCCCTGTGTATGTTATACAGAGTACCCTGTGACGTTCCCTGTATATGTTATACAGAGTACCCTGTGACGTTCCCTGTATATGTTATACAGAGTACCCTGTGACGTTCCCTGTGTATGTTATACAGAGTACTCTGTGACGTTCCCTGTATATGTTATACAGAGTACCCTGTGACGTTCCCTGTATATATTATACAGAGTACCCTGTGACGTTCCCTGTATATGTTATACAGAGTACCCTGTGACGTTCCCTGTATATGTTATACAGAGTACTCTGTGACGTTCCTTGTATATGTTATACAGAGTACTCTGTGACGTTCCTTGTATATATTATACAGAGTACCCTGTGGCGTTCCCTGTGTATGTTATACAGAGTACCCTGTGACGTTCCCTGTGTATGTTATACAGAGTACCCTGTGACGTTCC